TACTCAGACAACATACAGAAAGAGGGAAAGGCATGTTCAAAGGCACAAGGAAACCCAAACAAACAGAAAGCTAATTACTTCACTATTTTTGTTTCTAAAAGCTCTCCAAAGTTTCTGATTGCTTACACACAGAGAATCAAAGACCACAACAGGATCTAGACCCTACTTCAGGGGATATATTAAAGCATGAGACACACATTAATGCTGCAGAATTTTCATTCAATGCAAAGAGGCACAAAGATAGAAAAGATGTACTGGGATGGCAGGGATCACTTTTCCCAGTACCTGCCTTGTGGAAGCGCCAGGAAAGATCCTGTTCTACAAACCACAGTGGCATAGCCAGAGGGTGCCAGGAACTCAACCATTCTCTAAGGGCAGCTGTGAGCAGCTGGAGCTGGTCTCAACAGGTAGGTGAGGCCACCCGAAAGCTGGGGACCACAGCAAGGAGCTGGGAGTCCACAGTTCAAGACTGGAGACAGGAAATTGCCAAGAAGAGCAGGGAGCAGAAACCTTGTCATTGGTGGAAAGCAAGCAGGTTCTGGAGAATAGCATGCAGGGCTGTGATGGCAGCTGAGCTCACAGACAGCAGTGAAACACCAAAACAGGCTGTTCAGAGAAACACTGGAGTCTCCCTCACTGGAAATATTCAGCACTCAACTTGGCAGAGCCCTGAATGACCTGATCTAAGGCCCTGTTTCAGGAGAAGACTGGCCCAGGTGAAGTCCCATCAAACCTAGACACTTCCATGATACTGTCACTATGCCTGTCATTTCAAAGATGAGACCAGAGACTTCCAGTCCCAGTTCAGCAATGGTCTCGAGCTCCCACGCATCTTCAACCATGTTCTTCCTTTCCACGTAATATTGTCAGACCTCAAATTAAGCATATGCTTCTGAGTTTTTCTAGGCTGGGAGTCACACAGATAATTTTGGCTCTGTTCAAACAGTGTCTGGATTTTCCCAAGCCTTTATCCATGAGCACTTCTATTCTCCTCTCTTTATGTCAGCTTCAGTTAATACTTGCAAAGCAACTGCAGACTCTTAAAAAGATAGTCACTAATAGCAAATAGCCACCAGCAACTGTTTGATAACATCTGTCCTGTCACAGCACACAAAGAACTTCGTTTTCAAATTACATGATTTTAAGTGAATGCTTGCAGTAGGTCTCCCATCAAATAAATAACAAACAAATATTTTGTTGATGAGCCAGAGTGATTGTTTGCAATCACATTCTATTTAAAATTCTGAATTTGGCCAGTGGTTATGGTATTAGGGGGAAAGGGAGAGCGAACTTCACAAATAGTGATATGAACCATTAAGTAAGATACAGAGATGGACTTACTTAAATGGAAGAACCTCAGTGAATGTTTCATTCAATTGCTTAAGGGATTTTTTTTTTTTTTGCTGTTTTTTCTTAAAGAGAGATAAGAGAAATGCATCACAAGCTGCCCTTTCCCCTGCCCAGGGCATCAGGATGCCTGTTTGCTGTACAGCAATGAATTTGTTCATAGCATCACTGTACGTGCTCTATCAGTATGGGGTTTTACCTGAAATAGTACCATACTATGAAGTACATATTTGGGTAATTTTGTTCTTTTTCCTGGTTGAGCTTAGGATATGGATATGGAGAAGACAAAGAAAAGAGGGCATTATCAGGAATTGGGAACGGCAAGAATACCTGGGAATCAGGATGAGAATAAGCATGAACTGAAAAGCAAACATCAAGAAGACCTGGTGCTCCAAGAGAAAGCTGAAAAACTTCAGAGACAAAACCACAAGAGGTCTGATGGGTCAATCCTCCTAATCAAGTCTCCCTTTCTCAAACTGAGCTCATCAATGCTTAGGCACATACCTAGTTATTTCTACCCTGATTTATTTAGTTATTTTAAACACCTCAATAGCTGTCCAGTGAAGACTGAAAACCAATCTTTTTGGAACCTTGCTTTGCACATGGATTGCAGCGTCACCATTTTTGCAGCTCAACTCTCAGTATTTTATTAATAAGAAAATTACGTACCAGAAAGAATACATTAAAACTATGTTATCAGAAGCTATTTTAAACACCGCAATGAAAAGAAGGCCATAGAGCTAAAGATTTTTCTGCTGTTATTTGAGTCCTCAAGACAAATAATCAGAAATGTATTATGAAAAAACTTTCATAAAAATGTATTCTATATTTCAAGTCAGACTTCCTATTCCTAAAACGTTATAGCCTACAGTTCACTTCTAAGACTCAAATGTTACATCTATACAAACAATGCAGCATGACTACTGATATCAAATTTGCATGTTAAAGACTAATTTTCACTGTGCAAAAATCAGAAACATACTTTCAGCTAAACGGCAGCAAATTCAGTATAAATAATATTGAGAAGTTAACCCAAAGAACCTTCTATAAGCCACAGGACCACAGGACTATGTCTTAGGACCACAGGACTTCAGATTTAGTTTCCATTCCGCTCTTTGCACCTTCTCTCATTCCTTGTCAAAGGCAGAGAACCCAAGCCACACAGAATTAAACTAGATTTACTTTTAGATGCTGACAACTCAAAGTCAAGGGAACAGTGTGTACCTTTCTCCAGCGACTGCTTCCATATAGAGTAGGAAGATTCACAGTATTTCACAATTATGAAAACCATCATAATTTTCACAACTGTCAAAAATTCTCTGGATTTTTTTAATTGCTGAAGCATGAGTTACTTTTAAGCATTTATCTGAAAAACACAAGTCATTTTACAGCCTAAATTTAAATGATTAAATACATATCTTCTCTAGCTCTCAACAAATTCACAGTACCTGCTTTCATTAAAAAAACACGAATCTTGTTCAGTTGAATAAAATGTATTGAAGATGCTTCCAGTATCATTCTAAAATCTTATTTTAATTCTTTAGAAGCTGACAGCTTCAATATTCAGATCAACAACAGGAGAAACTGGTTCTATGAAATTAAATACAAATCTTTTTAAGTTGGGGAGGGACTCATCATTAGGGACGGTAGTGACAGGACAAGGGGTAACGGGTTCAAACTTAAACAGGGGAAGTTTAGATTGGATATAAGGAAGAAGTTCTTTCCTGTTAGGGTGGTGAGGCACTGGAATGGGTTGCCCAGGGAGGTTGTGAATGCTCCATCCCTGGCGGTGTTCAAGGCCAGGTTGGACGAAGCCTTGGGTGACATGGTTTAGTGTGAGGTGTCCCTGCCCATGGCAGGGGTGCTGGAACTAGATGATCTTGAGGTCCTTTCCAACCCTAACTGTTCTATGATTCTAAGTTATTCCTCAAGCGTCTCTGAGCTAAGTTCCTAAAACTATTCTGCTTTACAGAACATAGTCTAGATTTCTTTAGTGATAAGTGCAAACCCTACCAAACATAGTAACATTAGGTCATATTGAAAACAACATCTGGGGTTTATGCCCAAGTTTTCATCTGTTTTCACTACAAGCCTGTCCTTAGGACCTAGGGGACACAAACCAATCACAGATTCACCAGCATCAGGTGAATCAAGTAAATAATCACAATTGTTATTTATTTTAAATATGGTCCTAATCTTTAGTTTTTTCAGTTCGTCATTTTTAAATAGTCCTAAATTCATGCATCTGGCAGAGCTGATTTAGGCCATGCACAACCCGGTGATCAGACACAACAGGATAAACAAACTGCATCATGACCCCCGTAGTTACAGCACACTCTGGTTAACTCGAATACAGCAAGACCCGGCACACAGGCAAAGCCATGTTCACCAGGAACACGGTTATGCAAAGCCAACATTAAAAACAAAAAAAAAAACAGAAAACCAAATTGAGTATAAAGTTGTTTTTCAAGTTGTCAATAAAGAAAGGAAAAACAGTGTTACAGCACAGGAAATGGGCTCACAGGCAACAGAAAAAAGGACACCAGGCATAAGATGGAAAACAAAGACCTAGAATAGGCTTATCTCAATCAAGACTAGAGTCCCGTTTTCTTGAAGATGTTATTACAAGATTATCATGAGGGGGAAAAATGATCTATAATTCCCTTCCACCGACTCCAGGCATACACTCAAAACACTGTAAGTCAGAGCAAGTTTGAAGAAAGTAATCGCTTTCTCCCACCCAAATTATAAACTTTAAACACAATTTCCAGAGTTGGGTATAACTGCATTTATGTCAGAAAGATCGCATCAGAAAAATCTCCATTTAAAATAACAGAAATATGGAAAAAAAACACTTTGATTGTTTATGACAAGTGAAGATAACTGTAGTTAAGTTCCTTACTGTGAGGCGACATATTAAAGACTAATGTACAAGCAAATTTCCCTTGAACCTCCTCAAAAATTCAACATAACAAGAGGAACAGAAATCCTATTTTGTATTAAATCAATTCCCAAGTACTCAACACAACAGAGAGAAGAACACAAATTGTCAGGACAATATCCCTCCCTCACTGAAATGTAAAACACTGGAGTCAAAACAGAATTTAAAGGCTCTTACTCTTCAGAGAATGCTGAAGACACTGAGATTCAAAGTTATTTTTTAAAAAACACAAAAATCCAACAAAACAAGCCTTCCCCCCCCAAAAAAAATCACAACAAAAAAGACCAACCAAAAAAACCCCCCAAACCCAACAGGCAGCTTCTAGTGTTCAATCCCAAAATGTACATATTTAATGAAATTACTGTGTAAAAGTAATTTGTGACAATTTGGTCTCACATAAAGCCTTACTTTTTAATTACATTTGAAATTATGTGTATTATATGTGATTTTAAAATAATTATTCAAAATAGAAGTAATTTTCTTGGCCTGTAAAACAGCAGGTGTTGCATGTAAGTTAAGAAAACTACCATTAATTCCCACAGGCAGATAAATGCCATGCTGCTTCAGAATGTTACCATCACATCACCTCAAGAAATCGGATTACATTCACATTATGCTCCAAGAAGGAGGAAAAAAATAAATCAACATATTTCTAGCTGATCAAACCATTACACAGGTACTGTATCAGTGACAAAATGCCAAGAGGACTCACCTGTTCAATCTCCTTCGTCTTAGTTGCAATTGCTTTTGAGCGACCAAGAAGCTGACCATCCTCGTATAATTCTGTACTGTCTGTTATATTTGTTTCTGCTTCCTCTGTTTGTTCGCTGTATAACGGAGCTGAAGATCCAGCCTTAAAAAAAATACAAGCAAAATAAAAACCTCAAAGTGCAAGAGCAAAACTAAACACCCAAATACAGTCATTCAGCTAGCTATTCAGTTTGCTTATCAAGACTACCAGTGAAGCATTATTGCTACAATCTAACATATACAGAAATATAGATTTTAAGAATGTAGAAAATATGGCATCATAAAAAACCTGTGACTCAGTGTTAACTGTATGAAGACAATGATGTCAGATAACCTTTACCCGCCCTTCCACTGAGAAGGAAGGCCACCCTAACTTGTACATGTGATATTTAGAACACCAGCTAGCAAGAAAAATCCACAATCAAAGTGGGATTAGCTCTCTGGGAAAGGATAAAAGTAACAAAATCAAAGGTAAACAGGCATCAATGAAATCAAAACGCTGCCAGAAATAACTCTTGCAGCACTCAGGACCACAGGTTTACTATCAAACGCACATAGATACCTGTTGTAAAGGAAAAGTCAACGAGCCCATAGAGGATTCCTGATTAGATGGGAAATCTTACTGAAGTACCAGAATTGTAGAAACTTCCCTCTAAAACAGAAATTAAGACAGTATCCCTGCCCAAAAGCAAAAAACCTCCCACTCCAAGGGGTCTATAAAGAAGATAGAAAGGAGAAGAAATTACCATAGCCTACTGAAATCCAGTATTATGCAAGAGAATTCTAGAGTAGTAATTTGTTTTTTGGGGGGGCAGTATCAGATTTGAGAATTGCGGATGCAGAAAAGTATTTTCTACTGTTGCAAAATAAAAGAGGCGAAGAGTCCTAAGACATAAACTAACACAAAAAGAAAAGCATCAGACCTAAAGAAAAAAAGCTTAAGTGGTCCTAAGAGCATCTACTCAGAACTTAGCAGCAGTATAAACCATTAAGACTGAATCCCAAATCTTATTGCAGCAAATCATGAAATGCCTGAGATTGATCGAAGGCTGCTAAAAAGTTCAGCGCAATGCAAACTTTAGCTACTAAGAACTATGTAAAATAAACTGAAAAAAGATGAAAAGTGTTGCAATTCATACATGACAGCCTACTACTAATCAAGGTGAGAAGTATCCTTTCTTCAAGGACTCAGAATGATATACTTCACTCCTTCATTAGCATTCCTACAGCGTGCTTTCTGAGTCAATAAATCATCTTGGACTCTGCCATAACCAACTGCAATTGCTTCATTTTGAAAATTACTTTAGTTTGAATCTTTTTGCCACTGCAATTTTCTCTGAGGCACAGTGGAAGCTTTAAACAACTTTTTTCTATATGGCTCACTCTGTTCTTTTCTCCCTTACATTACCTTCCCCTCACCAAGAACAGGAGTGACATTTCTCTTTACTGTTACTCTCCTGAACCTCTCAGAAATGTCCACGCGTATGTTCACCTCCATATGGTATTCATGTTTGGAACAGTTTGCTGCTTCTTTTTCCTCACTCCAGGCCCTCACATTCCCTCTACCCCACACCTCCTTTTTTTTTCAGATTTATTTTTCCTGGAGGGAAATGAACAGTTAATTTATCCAACTGGCTCTTCCCATACAGGATCAAAAAGCTGCTGGTGCACTCAGATATAACATCAATGGACAGGACTTAAAAGTTCATATGAACATGGATCCAGCGAGCTGATTTCTCTAATCTAGCCCTTAAATTCCACGAGTGTGAAACACAAAGAGGAAATCTGATGCTTCCCAAGATGCTTTTGTCTTCCCTCAAATTATCTGCCAACAAATATAAAATACACATTAATTATGATGTTTAAGACATGTAATTTCGTAGAGTAGGTACTATTTTGTTTTTTTTAAGAGTGCCTGAAGCAAAGGTAAAGTTGAAGATAAAAGGATCACAGAATTAAAACAGACTGGTCTACAAAAAGACATTACATGACATTTGGTTTGTTTTAAATGACAAATACATCATCCACTAACATAGCAGAATCCATGACATCCTATCCAAGAGCAGCATAACAAAACAAAGACTGAAAAGGGCTATAATCACAGTTCAATATAGCAAGGGGTAGAAGACAGGTAAAAACAAATGGCTATTAACCAGCAATTCATTAATGCTGATTATTGATTGTTGTGAATTGATTATTGATTGTTGTGAATGCTCCATCCCTGGCAGTGTTCAAGAACAGGTTGGACGAGGTCTTGGGTGATATGATTTAGCTTAAGGTGTCCTGCCCATATATTTAGGGGATGGACTGTTCATTAGGGACTGTAGTGATAGGACAAGGGGTAATGGGTTAAAACTTAAACAGGGGAAGTTTAGATTGGATATAAGGAAGAAGTTCTTTACTGTGAGGGTGGTGAGGCACTGGAATGGGTTGCCCAGGGAAGCTGTAAATGCTCCATCCCTGGTGGTGTTCAAGAACAGGTTGGACAGAACCTTGGGTGGCATGGTTTAGTGCGAGGTGTCCCTGCCCATGGCAGGGTTGGAACTAGATGATCTTAAGGTCCTTTCCAACCCTAACTATTCTATGATTCTATGATAAAAGTTCTGGGGAAAAAATATCTATCCACTGCAGTACCAAAACAAAAGGTTAATTTTTAATATAGAGGAGAAGTGCTTTCTGGAAAAGAATAAATGACACAGTAGTCTGACATGACATGGAACTGAACTCAGTATACCAAAGGTTCTCTACTAGTCTTATGTTTCATAAGTACACTTGTATTTTGACTCAGAAGTCCCTCGCTAATTTTAAGGAGTTCAGCAAGCATACAGATTTACACTAGTGCAAGGGTTCCTTGGAGAATTCCTGGGAGAGCTGAAGCCTTATTTTGGCAGTTGTAACTCAACATGAATTTAAATTATACTAACAAAACCTACTTTGTTTTTGCGTAGTCTTAAATAAATAAATCACAAGGCTCTAGTCTCCCTCTCACTCACTTTCAACAAACATTTAAGAGCATATGCAGACAAATCGAGGGGTAAATTATAAAACGTGCCTTTCAGGAGAGTAAAGAAAAACAAGAGGCTATTGTAACAATTTAAAATAAATTGATTAATAATCCTGTCTTACTTCATACTCTGCTTCAGGTACATTGCTTTCATCGGCCTTCTCTGACTTTTCAGCTGCCCACTTGCTTGCAGCTTCTGCAAGCTCCTTTTCCGATGGTCTGTTGCTCTTATCCGAGGCCTGTACAAGAACATTACAGTCAAGGTTTCACATGAAATATATTTATGCGTGGCAAAACATCTTCCAAACTAATATAAACAGTTTTTCAGATCCCCTCAACATTTTAAAATAGGAAATAAGGAAGCTGAAGCTATTTCATTTGCTGACTTATTTCTGTAAAAAGAAAAGTGGCTGGAGAGAGAGCAGAGAAAAAAAAGAAAAAAAGAGAGAGAAAAACCACAAAGATAAATCAGTGAAGTTCAGTAAAATGTTAAAAAAAGCACCATACTTTCAGAATCAGTTTTATTCAATTCATGGGACAGAGACAGCAGAAAAATTATTTGAGACCAATTGAGTTTAAGGAGACATGGATCAAGTGGACACTAAGAAGTCAGATACAAGTGTGGAGGGATCTAATATCTCAATGTGGTTTTCAGGCATGAAAGGTTGCAACTAATTTAAACTATTAAATACTGTGTAGGGTGTAAAACCTGAGCTAATTAGGCATGAAGTACTTTACACATACTTTAAATGATCAGAGCTGCTTCCATTAAAATTCATTATTTTTTATTGGGGGGAACATTGATCATTTATAATAGAGTCAGTCATGGCTTTATAGCCTTTTAATCCACCTTTTCAGACTGAAATACTGCTATAATATCTAAAAATTAATTTCGCTCAATTTGGCTTTTACTAACAGAGAAACAGATGACAAATACCCAGGTACCAAAACCAGTTCAGGAACAGCCAGATTTACAAATCTTGTTACTACTATGTCAGTATTTCCTCTGAATCAACAAACATCCATCCAAGAATCTATACAACTCTAGTATTAAAACCTACAACAGTAAGATGGATATCTAAAAAAGATACAAAAATCCTCCTGCCTTAAAAATGTCCCAATTTCTACCCAATGTCAGTTCTATCACAGCAAACAGGTGGACAAAAAAACCCAACAAAAAACCCCAACACTGTCCCCTCTCATCACTAGTTCATTCTAAATTACATAAATGGCCATCAGAAGCAAACCTTGTGAACTGTTACAAGACTGCTTCATCTTCAAACCTTTTGTATTTACCTCAAGTAAAATATTACCCAAACATCTCTTTGTGCTGTAGTATGGCATTAGTATATGATTCACAGAATCCTTCCAGGATTCAGTGTCATAAGGACACCACATTTAACCGGTTCCAGAAGAGAAGTGCAACACAATGTTCAAATAGAAATCCCTCTTTTCTACTATTGTAAACTACAAAATTATAACCAGCAAAGTCAGGAGGCGATGAAGTTCAATGTGCAGGGGAACAAAAAGGGCTCTTAAGAAAACAGTAGTATAATTCATAGAATAACTTGCCCAGCTCACCTTTCCAAACTACACTATTATTCTTACACTAGTCTCACTAGAAACTATCTGCTGCCAAGGTTTTTTTCTCCCCTCAACGTTCTCATTTCCCATAGTATGCCTTTTACCTTTAACGTTACCTATCTGTAGCTGCCAAAAAACTCTTGTACTGTGGTTCTATTATGAATCTCTCCCTTTCCTCAAATGTGGCTCTGGCCAACACTAACAAAAATACAAAAAAGACCGGTACCTTTGTCACTGTCAGTTTTGCACAAATAAAAGACAAATAAAATCTCACATGACCTACAGTATTTCCCCAGCCATAAACAGAAACTAACCACTCTAATACCTGCTGGAATGCAGCAAAATATCTGTTTAATTTAATCTCAATAAATTTAATTCTGTAAGTTGCATGTCAATAAATATGTATTAAAAATACCAAGTATGTTTTATGTAATAAAGGAACGGTATTTCCACAGGTACACTACAAGTGAACAACGGGTACATATTTCTCAAAGAACAGTATCTGCAGCTACTTAAGCTGCAAACTTGCAAGAAATGAACAACCTATCCTGTATTGTCTGAAACCCAACCAAACTTCCCCCAACCTCAAAACAGGGGTATCTTTTTTCCTTTTTCTGTTACCTTATGCATAAGAACAGAAAAAACCTGTCAGTTTTCTGCTATCTTCGCTGCAAAGCTTTCCCTGTCTCACACATCTGCCTTTTGCTCTAATAACGTTGGATACAGCCTTCAAGGCTTGCAGTCCAGACAGCTATTAAAGAAAAACACAAAAGATGTCATACCATAGTCAATTAAACAGGTGGTTAAGATCAGATAGCACCCACATGTGTTAATTCACATGCATGAATATGTAAAAAAATTAATTATAAGACAGATAAGAATATCTTTTCAGATTTGCATATAGCTACTACAGTGAAAAGAGATATTGCTACAGAGGCATATATAGCTTTGTAAGTATTTCAAAGCTAAATTATAACTTGGGGCATTGGACGTTATCTCCTTTAATCTATAAAATATATAACTCTTATCTCAAGTCTAAGAAGATTATAAGATTCTGGTGCTAGAGATGCTCATGTTTTGCCAAGACTACTTCTGTTGGTATAACTGAACCACTAATGTAACTGAACTGGTTAGTGTAATTCAGCCATCATCCCAAAAGTCTCCCCTGACACAGGCCAGTACATCAAAGGCAGATTTGGAAGCTTCAAGAGAAAAGCAATAAAAGGTCACTGAAGTGCTTCCATTTCGGCAGCTGATGCATACCCAATAAATATTTATGTTGTATGGGGAAACGATTTCCATCAAACAGAAAGTTTCATTTTGTGTAGCTTACATCAAGTGGATCTCCACTGCCAGCAGATATACGCAAAGTGCTGGCAAAACCCCACAATATAGAATAGATCAGACTTGACTGAAGCAGAAAGCAAAACATTTAAAGAATACTTCACAGTTTAAGCACACACTGCACATTAATACAAGTGCAAGAGATTTTGCAATATTTCCTTGTTCTCAAAGGTTTGTATTAAGCAAGGATTTGGTATTGAGCTGTAGCATGCTGAGTCTGTAAACAAAACAGGTGAACTAATTATAAAGTTTATTTTATAATCCAAATCATCTCAACTTGTGAGTAACAGCTTTTATCTTGCTTTCCTTGTTTACATCACTGAAAATATATCGCTTGCCTCCCCCCTTAAGGACATTGGCAATTAGCTAATGCCTAGCACAGCAATTCTAAAAGAGCTGCATAAGGGATAAGTATTTGGAATGACAGCACAACCAAAGCCTGTTTTTTTCCCTACCTAATTATTTCCTTCAGTCTCACCTTCTCACAACAAAAAGTACCTTTCTTTCTTCTGATTTCTTTTTTGTTTAAGCAATCCACTGCTTTTATTAAAAAGACGTCAAGAACCAGGCTGGTACATCATGCTACTTAGAGCAAATACTACTTTCTTTTGGGCATCGGACTAGATGGTCTCCAGAAGTCCATTCCAACCCTAACAATTCTGTGACTCTAATAGGGCCTTATTTACTTAGACCAATATAATGCACTGTTTCTTTCTCAATAAAGTATTATTCAGCTATGTAGAGAAAATACTCCAATGGAAGTGTTCATTTTAACCTCAGATATAGTTTACAGGCAAGCAGTCTACGATTTGAAAATGTTTTTGCTGCCACAACAATCTTGAATGCTGCTTGTTCATCAGTGTTTATTAGCCTGTCCGTTTAACTAATTAGCAAGATCACATAGTTGGTGCTCAGCCCACAGATTTGATGAGAAATTAAACAGCATCATTTAGAACATAAAATTACACTTATCAAACTAAGCAATATGGCTCCCTTCCCAAGTAAATGCTATCATTCTTGCCACATCCTCAAACAACCCTGCTTCTAAGTCAATTCTGCTATTCACATTAGATTCCCACACAGTTTCCAAATCCAGTAACAGTTTAAGAATCACTGAATGATGGAGTTCAGTGCAAGTATAGGTTTGTCCAATTCATTTGCTGGTCCTAAGACTGCTTCCCCATTTTTGTCCTTGCCATTCCTTTTCTAGCACAATCCAGACTTTGGAAATTGACAAATTTTAAACACCTACAAAATTCCTTTTCTCTTAAAATGAGACAGTGAATACAGTACAAAAAGGTCTGTCAGTGTCACGATTAGACAGACAGCACTATCAACACCTTCCTGTCAGATAAGGGAAACCTATCCTCTGCAGAGCAATTCAGGATGCTTCTTTCCTTAACACCTACATACATTATCTCCTTCCAACTGAGGAAAAAAATTCCCAAACCAGTGTATAATCTGAAACCATAGTGAGAAATACTTGAAAAGAAAATTCACCTTTGATGAGGATACTGCTATGGAGCCTGAAGGCGATGCATCTCTTGATGTTTTCAATGATAGACCTGATGCCCTCTCTTTACCTACAGTTAAGAAAAAAATAACAACTGTGAAATTATATTAAAACATATGTTGCAAATATAATTACTGGCTTAGAAAAACTGCAGTGAAATTCGCTCAGGTCAGACATGAAATCTACAAGCTTCACCACCTGATAAATATTGATAAGTGATAGTATTAATATTGATAATATTAATATTGAAGAGATATAACTATATTATTTAATGTATTTAGAAGAATCCACTGTCCTTTTTCCAACATTAACTGAAAGGCTGTATCAACATGACTTGGCAAGATGATGTGGTTTTACTTTTTAATATTCCTGTAATGATATAAACAGGTGAAATATTAGACACCAGTCAATCACTCCAGGAAACCAGGTTGGTAGGAACTGGTTTAGCAAGCCACAGTGTGGTGCCAAGTCCTGCCATGGCAAACAGTCCTACACTGTATCAGCCACAGACTAGATGCTCTTTGTATTATCAGTGTTTTTCTTATAAGAGTCAAAATTGAAAAAATGACAATTCAAATTCACTGTGCTAATCAGTCTGTGCATACCCTTGCCACAGACTGGCCACAGCCTGCAGCAGCAGAACTGGTTGCAGTGTGAACTACTAGTTTTCAACCTGTGGTCCACGGATTACATCGAAGGGATCTGCAAAAGGTAAACACGAAAAGCACATATGCTGTCAGTAGGCCTAACTTAACTAGACTATTCATACTCACTGAGGAAAATGGTTGATTCTTCGCAAATGGAAAACAATGCAGACTTCCCTTGGCTTCCATCAAATTAGTATCAATACAATTAAGAATGGGATAAAAAGTTTATCAAATACTTTAAGAAAAAGATATAAATTATAATGTATCCTATATTAATATTAAATATTAACAGAACTATGAACAAATGTGGCTTTAATTTAATGAGTCAAATAAATAAAGAGCAAATATGGCACCTCAAAATGCTGTGATACTTTCTGTTTTTACTCAGGGCCATAAAATATGACTGCATCGTGCTGTGAATTTAAAAATACCACTACCTACATAAAACACGTAATGGAAAGTCCATGCAAACTGCATACTTGTTAACAATAGGAAGTGTTTAAAGAGTATTTGAAAATTGGTCTTCTACTCTTTCCCTGCATTTTCATACTACATGTATAGCATAGACTTAATACAAAATTTTAGGAAAACCCTGAAATTTTATATGGTTTCTCAAAACATTTTTTCCTGTTCCTGATAATTATGAACTGTGTATCTGTAACACTTCTACAAATTTAGTTGAATATCTTATTTTTCCCTTCCTCTCCTACATTTTAAGGAATTTGCATTCACTGAGTATTGCTCCAAAGTGTTAAAAAGAGTTGCAGTGATGAGCTAGAAGGATAATTTATATTCTACAAGGAGTGAACTGATTCCTCAGTATTTAAGCAATGTTAACTAAACTCCACAAGATCTCTTTTGGCAGTAAGTGCTACATAATGGTCCGGTATGTTGCTCTGGAAACTTACAATATGCCTATCAGTGAACAAAAAAAAATATCTAATTAAATTTTTCAAAAGCTGCCAAAATGAACAGTGGGTTTGGAGAGTTCACTAGAAAGCATTTGCAGGGAGGGAAATCAAATCAGATTAATTTACATACACTGTACAAACAGCAGCGGCTAAGACAGTAGTATACTAAAAAAGGGCAATTTTGCACTTTTTTTTTTATCCTTAATTATTTAAATAGGAAAACCTTAAATATTTTCAAAACAGATGATTCATTAGGCTTCAGGGAAAGATTAACAGCCAAGTTTTTAAAAGGCAGAACACACACAGTACAGACTTAACTGCGTTTCACATTTTTTTGAGGAAAGCAAGATTTGAGCAAATCTGACAGGAGATGAAGCTGTTAAAAACCCCTCAAGCCCCTAATATCACAGGTCTGAGAACACTTTCAGAAAATGTAACACGTAGCAGTATATGTATTTTAATTTCTCCAATTTTTTAATCCTTCTTTTCCCCTGGCTGCAGGAAGAAAAGTCTTTGTTTGCTATAGATGACAGCAAAGTTTCTTGTAAGGGAATTCAATAAAGCACATAAGGAAGAGAAGCAGTTGAGGCTAAACAAAAAATAACATAAGATACCAGAAAAAGCCGTGCTGCTCAAACTCCTACAGTCAGTCTAGAGCTGCTGCTGAAACACCACTTACAACCTCCCACATAAAATACATAAGGGAACAGAGACTGCAGTGAAACAACCAAAAAGCAGACACCACAACTGGTACAAAGTGTCTAGTTTTCTCATTATAAATATAGCATGTAAAGAATCACAGATGTGCACACATCTCTAATTCTGTATGAGAAAAAGGGCTTATGGAGTGAGTTGCAGTTTCACCCCACTAACCAGTTCTCATCATTAATGCAGCATTACCTTGCTGAGAAGAAGTATTTCTTTTATGTAAAGATGACATATTTCTGCTATGCTGGGACTGGTGGAAAGGATAGGATTTGCTTCTTTCAGGAGAGTAGCTCCTGCTGCTGACACTAGAGCCAGATCTGCTGTGTGGAGAATCCCTTCGGCTCCCTGGTGATTCCCTGAAGAGAGGAGAGTCCCTCCTGTGAGGGGATCGTTCTCTCATGTAATGAGAAGGATAGACGCTTTTTCTTCTGAAGCCATCTCTGACATCCCTTCAAAGAAAACAGAAAAATAAAAGTCACTTGGTTATCCTTCCAATGTTTGTGGAACAGCACTGGATAATACAATGACAACATTTTGTATTTGGTTAAATACTAATAGATTAGCTGTCATCTGCAGAATATGTCTGAAATCTTCAGTGTTGTTAGAATAATAGGCAATGAATGAAAAACAAGTAGGAAAAGAGGATGTATATGTATATGTACATGTATATGTAAGTAATTATTTTCAGATTTCATTCACCTGCTTCATTGCTGGAAGCTAATTCCTTTCTATTTCTCAATAATACAGCTAAAACGTGAGAAAAAGACATTCAAGAAATTGGGACTTCCACATTTTATTTCTTCAGATTCACTCAATTTCACCTGGAAATTAAAGCTTCATTTACAAAAACTAAAAATGCATACGCAAATAATTGCTCACACTCTTTGGCTGTTTTTCAACTCTATTTTTCCCTTACCCTTATTTTCAAGGGAGTATGATTTAACACACCTTGCTATGGGAAATACCATTGAGGGATTTCGATTTATATCCAGCAAGGACAAAAAGAAAACCGCAGACTATCTATCCTCATGCCTACGTATCCACCCAAGGTCAAACCATGAATGAAAACATGAAAATTTATACCTACTAAAGAGTCTATGTCTTTCACAACACACAATACTAATTTTGAACTTTACTGTAAAATGCCACAGACTCACTCAGTTATTATATGAAACCTAACTGATTCGAAACTATAATCTAGTCAACACCAAAACTTTCTACTACATGTATATATTGTTACTCCAGACCATACCCCAAATGTCCTGGTTACTTGCAAATCATATTAATTTACACATATATGTGAAGGTCAGAAAAACAACATAAAATTGAACTTTTCCTAAAGAATCTCAAAGCTAACATGCAAGCAAACATCTACTGAATCTAGATTTGTGACATGCGCCTTGGTCAGAAGACACATTGCCAAGAGAAGCAAGTAATTCTCAGCTCTTCCACAGCACTGCTAAATAAAAATAAAGACTCCATGGCATTTATAGTAAGCCAGAACGTACCTTACTTCACTGCCTTTCTCTCCTATTTCTCACCATAGTCCAATATTTATATAAGGGAATGTCTCACAACGATGAGCAAAGACCTGGTGGTCTCTTTTAGTGCAATGTAGCTATAGCTAATTTTATATTGCTGGAGAAAAGGAAAAAAGCCCTCTAGTGTACAATTCCCATCGCATGTTGCAGGCCCACATTTATGACGGGTAACAAAGGACTCTAGCATGTCAAAAGTGTTTTGTACTGCTGAAACTATACAGGTAGCACCACAGTAATACAGACACTATTACACCAATGTGTTTTATACAGTGCTGATTTACTTTTTGCATGGAAAGCACAACTGCCTCAAACAAAGCCAGGTTTTACAGCTCAACAGTTATTTCACTGTTAACAGAACACAGGCTTTTTACAAGTATGTTATCTTACAGAAAAGCATATTTTACAGAACTACATACCAAAACTGCTACAAGACAATGTTACACAGATTTATGCTTAACAGGGGTGCTAAAAAAATCAATATTCCTTTCTAAACATCTTTTCTTCTTCTATTTATTGTGACACATTATTCTTCCCAAACAAGCCAGTAAAAGAAACAATTAAGGAATTGCTAAATAATACTCTATTTAATAGCCTCTATACAGTAGCCATTGTATGCTTACATCAAATAATGAATCACCCCAGAATACACAGAAGGATAATCCTCCTGCTTTCTTCAAAGGCCAAGAGCAATGCGCTCACCTTTGGACACTACTCTTTAGGAAATGTGTAGATTAACACGAGATTTTCCAGAAAGAATAACTGAAATTATCAGACTCTGAGAAAACACATTTAATGACAAAACACTCAAACCTCTTTGTCCCCTTAAATTTAGCAGAAAGAAATCGAAAGAAGCCAGGCGAGTTCGCTAACCTATGAGACACAGCTGAAAATAGGGAACAACCGCTTTATCTGCATTACATGTATAAACATTTTATGCGGCAATAGAGAAAAAGTTCAGACTTTAAAAATAATCGAAAGATTAGCTCACCACCGAACTAGTTTTTAAGTAGGTTTTTTTTTATTTATTAAAGAACATATTGATCAAATATTTATCCAGAATGAGTTATGTACAGTGCATTTCTTCTTCAGTTTCCTCCTAAACATCTCTTTTTAAATAATCCTATTTATTTTTAAAGCACAAGCTTTCTGGCAGACCAGTACACCACTTTTACACCCAAAACACGTTTTCATGACTGAGATGAAGCCCTAGTACACAGAGAAGTTTATTATGGAAACGTTTACAGAACCCCAGCCACTGCACACATAATAAATGCTCTAATATCCACAGAAGAATTTACAAAATACCATTGAAACACACTTTTAAACAGGAAAACATTTAAAAGCCTCATTCTACAATAACATTATCCACAAAACAGTAGATTCTAACTTTCATTTTTCAAATTTTCATTTCATCACTCCATGTTAGCTCCTAACTGGACCATATCTCTTACTAAATACTCATGCCATTAACTATATTAAATTTTTTTCAGACAGCATAGCAACAGCACAGCATTTCTGATGCTTTCCATTAATATAACAAACGACACTGAACAGAACAAAATAAGCATTGTTTTACTTTTTTTTCCCCCTTAAATACTTAAGCTAACATACACCTGCAATTTGGTAATGAAGGCCCCAATTCAGCAAAGCAGTTAAGCACATGCTTCAGATTCCAACACATACTCAAAAGGTTTATTGAGCAGGGACAATATTTAATAGAGATGCAAAATTTTGTGCTCAGCTCTAACTTTAAAATAGAACTACTGCCCTTAATAAAAAATACAGGATGAATTGCTTTCATACAGGATCCCTCTTCTCTTTATATTTTGTATTCGTATCTCGCACTTAGTCCTGAAAGCGCAATGTAGTTCTCTCAGCAGTACTGCAACAGGAAGCATTAGAATGTTTAACCTCCACGGATCTTGACCATTAAATTCTCAGTGAAGCTGATAATCTTGGATGAGCTCCTGAAATTTTGTAACTAACCAGCCATACCCTGATATACCATCCACAAAGGGCAGCTGAGGGAAGAACACAAGCCTAACAGTTATCACCAAGTTCCAGTTTCTTGGAGGGAAAAACACAAATACAGACTTCTGCATAGCAGGAGATCAAGGGAATACAACACAGAGCAGATTTACAGTTGCCAAAGGATCAGAGACACCATCTTTCCTAAGCTACCATTACCACATCAAGTACTTCTGTTCTCACCCCTCTCTGCCATTTTAAGGCCTGCAAAGCATTCAGTAGCAATGTTGGGGGGAAACTGAGAGTTAGTGGAAGCCTTCTCAATTACAAAAGGGAGTAGTACAGGTTAAGCTATGTGAAACAAAGACTAACACAAACTGGTGTACCAGTTTGCATTTTAAGAGTACCTAAAGGCAAAATTAAATTACTTGGCAGATGTGAAATGCCTGAGAACGGAGGTGTACTTGGGAACATGAAAGCACATCATATGCAATACAGGAAGAAATTTTGTGTGCAAGAGAAATCTCAGTTTACTCTCATTGAATTCATGCTACCAGGCAACAGGGTACAATACTACTATATGCTTACTATTCTCTTGGACTTCTACTCCTGATACAGACATCCATCTTTTCAGTTAAAACATTAATCTACGATGTGGTCCAGCCACAGAGGATGTAACTCACACTTACGATACTGCACTGAACAGATTAGCAACTCTACAGCGTATCACTGTGGAGCAGAAACTGTAGGCTCTTTCAGTAACTCACAAGTGAGCACAGTTTATCACCTAGATAAACAGTCAACAGAGAAGTAAGTTTATGTGACCCCTTCCATCTGAGAAAGATTATTACTGTTGTCAAAGGGGTTAGACATTCCATTTATAGGCTTGGGCTTGATTACTAGCCTTGCCTAAAAGCAACTCACACGATTTTATAAATAATTTGAGGAAATTATACGTATCTCCTGAGACACCAGACTTCAGTGCAAAGAGAGGAAAAAAGAGAAGATTTTGAACCATGCTTCTTAACTCAATATACTTCCCTTGTCTCATAATACACAGGCAAGGGGAAGGAAGAGTGAAAGAAAAATAAAAAAGCCTCTTGCCTGCCCTGCCAGGACACTGCAGGGGCTGGCAGAGGGGGACATGATTCAGCTGCAGGGGCAACATGATTCAGATGATGGGGAAAACTTTAATAAAGTGCACTACACCCCGACCTCCAAGTTTCTCAAGTGATTTGCTGTCTTAAAACATCTGAAAAGCAAATACAAAGAGTCAAGAAACACCTCTACTTTTAATACCTTCAAAGTAAATGTAGGCCGTGGAAGATTACAGCCACTATCCTCTCTCCCAGAACTCATTCCCTTTCTTTCCAAAGTACCCAGTACGTCCGTGCAACAAACCAACAATTTACTCCTTAGTTCTGCTTCACAGACTTACTATAATCTCGTTATTGTTCAAAGATCTTTATGATGATTTATCATTAGCTAAAACAATACGGTGAGTTACACCACTGCAGATAAAACTAATTGCATCTAGTTCCATTGGCATTCATTTGAACATTTGAAATGATGACAGATTTCTTACAACTGGTTTTCAACATTTTATGACTAAGCAAGTAACTGCAGTACTGGTAAATGGTATCTGCATTAGTTTTAAATGAAATTAATGCAATTAGGGCTGGACAACGCAATCTTATTAAGAGTTTTGTGCATGAAGGCAAAAAGGAAATAGGCATTGCAAAATAGTGGTAACTCATGTACAGAAGGGTAACAAGACATACCAAATGTACAACAAAAATTAAAATCATATAAATGCCTCATGATATTTATGCTGCATGTAATACCGCTTAAGTCATCATCCGCAAACACCAAAACTCCCCACTGATGCCATTTGTCTAGCTCACTCAGTATAAAAACTACTAAACTCACCTCCCCACCCA